AGATGTTCCATTATGGGAAGCTGGGTGAAAGGCATATGGGAACTTCCTCTCTTTGTGACACTTCTATTACTCCAAATTAATTTCAAAATTAAAATAAAAAATGAGGCAGGTAGCCTAGAAAAAATAATTAAATCTCTACCTCAGATGTTTTACTAATATGACTTCCATTAGAATATTTTTAAAAAATAAAAGCATAAAAGCTCTGGTCTGGTAGCTCAGTTGGTTAGAGCATTGTCCCGATATGCCAAGGTTGTGGGTTCAATCCTTGGTCAAGGGACATATAAGAATCAACCAATAGATGTACAAATAAGTGGAACAACAAATCTCTCTCTCTCTCTCTCTCTCTCTTTCTCTCTCTCTCTCTTCCTCTCTCTAAAATCAGTCAATTAATAAATAATCTTTAAATGAAAACATAAAAACACTAGAAAAAATGAGGGAAACAATTTTCTAATCTCAGCATACAGAGGACCCAAGAGGCATGAAAAATCAAGCCATAAATAAAAACTCCAACACATATGATTATATAAAAATTTTGTAAATCTGCATGGCAAAAAACACAATAAACAAAGTCACTAGACAAACGGCCTTGCTTCACAATATTTACATACTTACAGTGGAGTATAAATAGTGTCAAAATTGAGGAAAGAAAGGCAATATTGGGGAAATGTGGCTAAGTTTCAAGGTTAATCACTTGCAGAAATAGGCATGCGATTCAGTTTTCCTTATTGAGCACCATGTTTTTTAAAACATATAAGTCCATTTAGAAAGCAAACAACTATGAATGTCATCCACTGTTTACTCTTAGGAGTATGTGTGTGCATGTGTATATGTACACATATATGCATAGATAGACACACATACAATCATACATACACAAACATATATACACACTCTCACATGCATACTTGAGGTAAATAACAGCTCTCTCAATACACTGAAACAAATTTAGGCATAATAATCTATGTATAATAATAATATAACAGTAAAAGTGACCACAAAACTGTTATAGACAAAGAACCTCATGTGTCATTGTAATTCAGAATTTTTGTTTGAGATAAGTGAGAAAGAATAAACTTTAGAAAAATTACAAGTTAGTCTCACAGCCACTTGGCCTGGAGGTCAAACCCTCCCTGGTATTAGCTACAACAATCAAGGCTTAACTACAAGACTGCGCACAAAGACCACTAGGGGGTGCACCAAGAAAGCATAACAAAATGCAGAGACAAAGAAACAGGACAAAATTGTCAATGGAAGATATAGAGTTCAGAACCACACTTTTAAGGTCTCTCAAGAACTGTTTAGAAGCCGCCGATAAACTTAATGAGATCTACAAGAAAACTAATGAGACCCTCGATGTTATGATGGGGAACCAACTAGAAATTAAGCATACACCGACTGAAATAAAGAATACTATACAGACTCCCAACAGCAGACCAGAGGAGCCCAAGAATCAAGTCAATGATTTGAAATGCGAGGAAGCAAAAAACACCCAACCAGAGGGTCGGAATGAAAAAAGAATCCAAAAATGCGAGGATAGTGTAAGGAGCCTCTGGGACAGCTTCAAGCGTACCAACATCAGAATTATAGGGGTGCCAGAAGATGAGAGAGAGCAAGATATTGAAAACCTAGTTGAAGAAATAATGACAGAAAACTTCCCCCACCTGGTGAAAGAAATGGACTTACAGGTCCAAGAAGCATGGAGAACCCCAAACAAAAGGAATCCAAAGAGGACCACACCAAGACACATCATAATTAAAATGCCAAGAGCAAAAGACAAAGAGAGAATCTTAAAAGCAGCAAGAGAAAGAAACCCAGTTACCTACAAGGGAATACCCATACGACTGTCAGCTGATTTCTCAACAGAACTTTTCAGGCCAGAAGGGAATGGCAAGAAATATTCGAAGTGATGAATGCCAAGAACCTACAACCAAGATTACTTTATCCAGCAAAGCTATCATTCAGAATTGAAGGTCAGATAAAGAGCTTCACAGATAAGGAAAAGCTAAAGGAGTTCATCACCACCAAACCAGGATTATATGAAATGCTGAAAGGTATCCTTTAAGAAGAAAAAGGTAAAGATACAAATTATGAACAACAAATATGCATCTATCAACAAGTGAATCTAAGAATCAAGTGAATAAATAATCTGATGAACAGAAAAAAAAAGAAAAATTACAAGTTAAATACATTTGTCACTACACCTATTAAACAGATTTAATTTAAAACTCAAACGTCATCATATTTGGAAGGGGAAATAAGAAGCTAATAACATGCATTGAGGTTTACACAAAATTAGTATGTAAAGTAAGATATATGAACCTAATGATGAATATGAAGTAACTGTTTGCAGTTTAACAGGCTAAGCAAAAATGTAATTGGTAAAGAGGAAAATCTAAATTAATTTCCAGCTATTTTAACACTAAGTGCAGCTGCCTGTTAATTGTCAATGTTTTACAAGAGAAAAAAAATTATTTAAACTGAATTTGTTTGAAAATGCAGCCAATATATGAACATACTGTACTAAAGTTAGCATCCATTCAATCAGATAAAAGGTATTTTTTTCAAAAGAAATTTATTTAACATCAGAATATTCCATCTGCAGTTACTTCACATTGATTGGAAAGAAAAATATCTGGAGGCAAATGAAAATATTAAAGTGTTTCTCGGAACAGTATCTGTCATTCCTGAAATGAAGTCAAGGTTTAAAACATTTGTTTTCAAGAAGAAGCTAATACAATAAAATTTTATTCAAAAGCCATTATGACTACCTCATTCAGTATCCTATTAGTGGTGGTTATGAGCTCAAGCTCTGGCACCAGCTTTCCTGGGTTGAAACTCTAACCCTACCATTTCTTGCTGTGTGACTTTGAGCAGATCACTTAATCACACTGTGCCTCGCCTTTCATATCTTAACATTAGGGTGATAACAGCACCTCCTATAATCACTGAGAATTAAGCATGTTCATGTATGCAAGACACATGCTCAATAATGGTGAGTTATCATTATTATTTTCAGTCAGGACAGCAGTCTCTCAGAGCAGGCATTCTTTTGTGTTAAAAAATGGCCAGAGTTGTGGGAAGCAAGCCATGACTTTGTTGGCCCTTGAGTGTAAAGTACTGTTGTCATTTCCCATCTCCCACACCCTCTTCTTAATAGATAGGAATCCTGGGAATATCTGGCCACTTCTCAATAAAGATGAGTCTTGGGGGTGGGGAAAGGGAGGGTCTGATTGAAGTGCCCCTCCCATCAGAGATATTGCACATGTGATTCTAGAACAGAGTGAGAAATCAGTCCTGGCTTTCTTAGCATGTGCTTATGTGCTTTGAGATCTTGGCATGTTTTCCCTACAATACCATCAGCCCTCAAAGGGATAGTCTGGTGACAAGCCATGCACCTGACTTTGCATTTGATCTTTATCCATATCCCTTGGAATATCTCATCAAATGCTTTCTTTATCCTTGTATTTTCCAAGGTCATGAAAAGGACAACACTGATACAGAAAGATTTCATGTTCATTCTTCCCCTTTAATTTACTGGAAGTTCCAACATCTGAATAGAAAGAAAAAGGCCAAGTCTACAGGCATCTTGGCAGGATGACAAATTATCAAAAAGAGATATGAATTCCCACAAAATAAACACACCAGAGCCAGGCTCCTCCACACCCTCGCAAGTCCAGTCATACTGTGACTGCACTGGCATGACTGCCAAGGGATAAAGGGAAGGAAAATGGGAGAAAGACACAGAAGCACTCATCCTTGAATCACATACAAACTCTGCCTCCAAAGGAGGACAAGAGGGCTTGCCTGTGTGGGGTCAGGGCAGAGCAATCCAAAACTGCATGAGGGGGAAGGGAGATAGGCGGGGAAGGGAGGTAGGCAAGGATGAAAAAGATGCTTCCTGTTATCTGTACCAGAGAGAGAGATCAGTACTTGCAAGGGATTCCTCTGGGATCCAATAAGACAACAGAGCCTGGGCAAATATATCTGGAGTAAAGGTGAAATCAAGCACTTCCAACCTTCAAACTTCCTTTCCACATTCTTTTGTGCCATGTATTACTTCACTAGGACCTTGAGACCTCAATATTAGAAAAACCTACTCTCCAAAGAGGATCAGCTATCTTGTTTTACACCTTAGCTTGAATTTAATGCCAGTTATTTCTTTCTAAGCCATTTTCCTTTGCTTAAAATTTCCAAGGTGAAATTTTAACAGGCTGGGAGTGAGTAGCTCAAAATAGGAAACACTCTTGCTTGCACAAGACACCAAGCCTCACCAGTGGACCCAGAATCCTAGTTTCACATCTAAACAGATAATTACTGTTAACCTAAATTGTACTTAAAAAATAAACGTGAAAGATCAATTCCTTTATATCCTCAAACACCACAGAAAGATAACAAGCCTTTAAAACTTAAAAGGAAGCATCATATTAAAAAGAATTGCCAGAAAAACTAATTTTTGGTCCAACATCACCACTAACTAGTATTTAACAACAGACATGTCACTTGAATGTTCTGGACCTCAGTCTCCCATGATAAAATTAATGGGTTTGGTACCTATTTAAGATTCCTTTCAACTCTAAAATTTCATGATCAATTCATTATTTTTAGTTCAAGCACTTTCTGATGTGATAGCAAGAGCTCAATTTTTATCTTGAAATGAAGATGAGCTATATGATTAAAGATATAAACATGGACTCTTAAAATTAATGTACCATAGATGTGAGATGTGAGAAAAAAATATATAGTATGCTGTAGAATTAAGACACTTATTCCCTTAGCTCATTACCATGAGCTAGCTGACCTAATACCATTAGGTTTTTTTTCTTTTCTTTTTACACTATGGTAAGTACAGCAATGTGAACTCGCAAATGTGTGAAACAATAAGAATCAGCACCACAAGGCAGAATGCTGCTCTTAAAGATCAAATGGGAGCTGGCTCGAGCAATGTGGAAATGGGAGAACTGTTCTTCAAGGTCACTGGGGAGCTATCTCATAATGCTCACCTTCCACCAGTTGGTCCAGGCTGGAAATCTTCTTGAGCCCATCAATGGTGTAGATTGTTCTCACTCCCTGGGGCAAATTCACATTATCCGACAGAGTTCGGGTCAAATCAGCCAGCAGGGCATCAAAAGATCGGAACCGGTCTGGGGAGATGGCATACACAATCCCTTTAAAGTACCGATCTCCATTTCGATAGAAACGAACTTTCTTGGCCTTCTTCTCGGAGCTGAGCGTCTGCAGCGTGCGGGTTCTGTAAAAGCTGCAGTGGGCGCTGTGTGTGGGACTGGGCAGCCCGTTCACCCGTGACCCTCTGCTGTATCTCTGAGCCTTATCCCGCTCATCAAAGTGCTCCAGCTCCATGTCTCTGCCAAAGGACATGACGCAGTTCACGTTGAATCTATGAGGCACAGCAACAAAAACAGAGACACATACTTATGTTATTTAAGATCATGATTTGAGAGACTCAACTTGAGAGCAGCTGTGGAAACAGTGCTAGAAATGATGATATATTTCATATGAATTGTGGGAAACTGTTTATTGCCTTCACTATCTGATAAGCATAGACAGAGAACTCCCCGAAACCCCCCGAAGGCTGGGTGCCTTTGAAGCCCTAGCAAAGCTTGGAGCTAGGCGCCACCTCTGTTTGTCCAGACAGTGGTAGCTGAAACTACTCCCTCATTTATTATTATGTAAATCCTTGCTGATGGGCTAGTCTCCCTGTTAATGGCGGGTCGCCTGCCTAAGGGCTACTCCAGATCAATAAAAGATTGGAGCAGCCTGAGCATGGGTGGAAGTCCCTCTCCTTGAGTTGGACTTGCCCGCCTGGACCTCCAATATTGCAAAATTATCTCGTGTCTTTTTCTCTCATTTGTTGTGCGGCTCCTCTTTCAGGTACCGAACCCTACTCCACGCGGGACATGGAAGGAAAGTTGGGAGAGAAAGAAGACGGCAAAGAAAAAGAAGAGGCAGGCCCAGTGTGAATAGCTTATTAATCAACTTTAGTTTTATTAGAAACAGCTCCTCTGTGATAGATCCTCCCTTCCCCCAACTGGTGGGCGGGGTATGACGTAACCTGCAGCCCAGAAATACCTGAGTGATTAACCAGGTACCTTATATGGACTATACAGTGGACCACCAATTAACACCTGCCAAATACCCTAAGCCCTTGTCCTATATGGACAATGCAGTAAGCCACCAATCAGTGTTCGCCGAGTACACTAAGCCCCTCACCCCTTCCCATTCCGCCCCTCAAAAGGCGTGCCCACTCCTGCACGTGCTGCACGTGCTGCACATGCTGCTGTCTTCCCCTTGTGAGGCAGCCCGGCAGGTGCTTCTCCTCTAATAAAGCCTGTAGTCCTGGTTTTAGGCCCCCGTCTGATCTTTCACTCTGTACTGACCAGCTAACAACATATCAGGCTTTGAACAGCTATTATTTCCAATAGTCACAGCAAACCTTTCAAAGTATTATGATTCCTATCTACGGATGAAGAAACCAAAACAGAGGAAAAAATTCTCCTAAATTTACCAACGCAAGCCAGATGAGAAATGCTTGAACCAAGAACACTGACCCAGGTTTGCCTGACTCCGAAGCTCCAGGCTGCCTGCAGGGCAATATGCTAATCCTGATGGCAGGCAGGAAGTCAGCTTTCACACCACCATTCAGCTAAAGCAGTGGTTCCCAACCTGGGGCACTCACCCCACAAGGGGGGGCAATTTGATTTTTAAGGGGGGCAATTTGAGAATGAGTCATTAACAGTGCATTTTTTTCATTTCTTGTGGTTCTAGGGGTCTCATATACAGTTTATAAATATATAGTGACATATTTATGCATTTCAGTTCTCTACTATGTTTTGAAACTTTATTTGCTATTTTTTCATGTCGTTTCATATTACTATTTTTTTTTTCACAATTTCTTAGTGATTTATTCCTCAGTACTTCAACCATCCTTTCGTTCTTTTATTTTTCTCTTTCATGGATGCCATGTTTTTGGAAGTTTTTTAGACCAATGGGCTTTCAGGCTTCCTCCATGTGAATAGGAGTTCACATTTTGAATAATAACAATTATATGTTACGGGGGAGTGGGGGAGCATCAGGATTTTAGAGATGCTTAGATGGGGCATGGCTATAAAAAAGGTTGGGAACCACTGAGCTAAAGAGAGGTGGTGGGCCAGGAGAAAAAGACAGTGGGCAGCATTACATAATCAGATTGTCTACATTACTTAGTGTTCATGGTCCTGAAGGCCAGATGGAGAGCAAATGGAATCAATCTGTAAATTTTACCAACTTAAGATTTTCCAACATACTCACATATTCAATAGAAATTATTTTAAAACCTGAATTCACCATAACTCATTTACTTACATTTAATGCTTCAGAAAAATTGGATTAAAAAACAAGAAAAAGGAGGTCTTAGGGAGAGAAGATCAACGAAAACAACAAGAAGAAGAAAAGATCATAGGGCTTTGCTTTTCCTTCCACTCAGGCTCTCTCTGTCTTTGAGGCAATCAAGATGTGGATCCAGAATTGACCCGGTACTAGCTATGCAAATTGGTCAACATCTTCAAACCTCAATTTCCTTAACCAAGTATGGAAATGATAATCGTGCCTACTTCAGAGTTAATATTAATCATGAAGCACTTAAGATAGTAACTAGTATGTGATAAGTATTAGTATTTGTATTTCTGTTCCTGACTCTGTCAAAGAAAGAACTAGTGGGAATAGAATCTCTGCCTTCTGGTAAGGAAGGCTCCTGGTGAGTCCTCCTGATTTCCACTCATGACCTTCTGAAAGGTATGCTTGCACTCTATGGTCCCCATTTTACTTTCTGTAGAGCCTTTGTTATCAGCAAGCCGCTGGAATCAGTTCATCCTTGCTAAGGGTTTAGTTGATAAAGGCTTTTGGTGTTGCCCCTTTGGGGGATCCATGTTTTACCAGGTCAATCTAGAAAAGGGGGAAAAAACCTCCAAATTCAAACAAAAGAAGTTCTAAAGACAAAATTTCAGGAATGTTGAAATACAATATACAGGAAATGGAAAATTTAGGGCAACAACCTATGAGTGCTCCCGAAATCCCACCACAGGGATGATGTCCCCTTTCCCAAGGTCAGTCCAAACTAACCAAAAATCTGCCAAGCCTCCCTGGCCTTTCCATAACCTCTGATCCATTGGCTAAAAATTTATGATCAAAAGCATGTGCCCTCTGAAATGAAGTGGGAAAAGGTAATATTTATTAAATGTCTACTATGTGCCCGACACTATTACTCAGCAATCAGTTGTGTAATATGCTAAATATTCTCTTCTAAATCTCATGATGATCCAATGAGGTAGGTAATATTGTAACTGAGGGTGAATATGGGATATACCCAGGGTCCCAAAGTCATAATTGAGGGAGTTGTGATTTAAACCCAGGTTTTCTCTGAATGACTCTGAAACTGGCACTCATTCCTTGCTGCCCCATACTCTCTTGTCCTAGATGCCTAGACCCCCTGATCTTAGACCCTTCAGGCATGTAAAGTAGGGACTTTTTTAAGCCCTCACTCCTAACTAGCTTTGTGACCTTGGGCAGGTTACTTAACTGCTGAAGACCTCTGAAGAGGAGACAGTGATCAGCAGGCCTCTAATGTCTTCCTTCACCTGCTCATTAGTCTATTGCTGACCCCAACTGGGTGGAGGAGGAGGCAGTGGAGTGTGATTTAAATCTGGAGTGTAGCCAAAACTGGTTTGGCTCAGTGGATAGAGCGTCAGCCTGTGTACTGAAGGGTCCCAGGTTCGATTCCAGTCAAGGGCATGTACCTTGGTTGCGGGCACATCCCAGTAGGAGATGTGCAGGAGGCGGCTTATCGATGTTTCTCTCTCATAGATGTTTCTAACTCTCTATCCCTCTCCCTTCATCTCTGTGGAAAATCAATAAAATATATTTTAAAAAAATAAAAATAAATAAATAAATCTGGAGTGTAATTTTTTCTTCCAAATATGAAAACTACCTCATGCCTCTTCATTTGTATTTTCCAGGAAAAGTTATAGCATATATAGGTAGATATGAATTGGTTTCATTGATTTTGAAGTTATATCCTTACAAAACAATTATCCCATCCTTCCGGCAGCTATTACTTTAATAGCAGAACCAATATTTTGCCCATGGTATCATAAATATTCCTACTTTTTAAAATAAATTTGTTTTTAAAAGGAGTTCTTTGTTTTCTAAAATGAGGTTGGGAAGATGATACTGCCAGTACTCATGCCAATTCACTAAACTCATCAAACTTTGTAAATCATAAAGGTCAGATTGGCTTTTGAATATTTTGTTTCTTTTTAAAGCCAGTGATCATCCCTCCAACCCTAAGATTTTCCCCCAAATCTATATTAACCCAAAGAAAACAAGTAGGACCCTAGCAAAGGATGGCACAGATGTACTACCAGAGAGTGCAAATCTAGTTTTAAAGGGCTCTTGTTGAGTCGCAATTTGCAAAGACCAAAAATTGTAGCAATTACTGGAATTCCTTAAAGGAACAGGCTTTTAAAGCCAAGAATACGACAGCAAATGAAAAAAAAAAAAAGGTAAATAAATAGAAAAAAAAAGTTGATTTTGTTTTATTTGCACATATCCTCAAACTGGACTACACGTTCAATCAAGGCAGAGACCATACAAATCTTCTACTGTCCTTCACTGAGGCTGCCCAAAAGTAGGCACTGATGTTGGTGACAAAGAAAAGCCACACTCAAACTGAAATCATTTTCAAGATTACAGGTACCAATAGGCATCAAAATAGGTGTGTTTCCCTTGCCATGGCTGGCTCAGCTCTCCATGGACTTAGGCATATATTTGAACCAAGAAGATTCCCTGGGCCTCTACAAACTCCCACTTTCTGCACAGGGAGCTGGCTAAAGCACACAGCCACGTGTTTGCAGACCATAGGTAGCTAAGGCCTAAGCCACACATTTGTGGTGCCAAGAAAGTATCTACACTGCCTTAGCCACAAAGATCACACATGTGGGTGGGGAAGAAGAGGATCATGGATCTTATCCAGATTTTCCTATAAACTTTTCCAGGCCAACAAATCAGCATCCTCCATTATTCTGTGGGACTTCTCACCATTCTGAGGAACCTGTGTTCATCCTCTAGATGAGCTCATAAGTTTCTGTTTCCAAGATACCCCCTCATCCAGCGCGCGCGTGTGCGCGCGCGCACATACACACACACACACACACACACACACACACACACACACACACCCCAAGACATAATTTGTCATAAATACTACCACATCTAAATTGATGCTGCACCTGGAAGTCTCAAGGCATATTCCTGCCAGTGGATTAAAATGCAGGTGGATGGACAGGCTAGAATTAGAGGCCACACACACCTTCAGAATGCAGGCACCACCCTGGAAGAAAACATCACAGGATGCATGTGGATCCTTCATAATGTTCCTATATATAACGTCTCTTAAAATCCCTCCCAGCCCACATCCATTGACATTTCATAGTTAAAACGCTGGCTTACTTTCCTTTTCCTTTCAAAGGTGATTTATTTGGGAACATTCATAAAATGTATTCTGGGAACAGTCTGCAGTGTGCACCATAATGTGGACATGCATTCACAGGTGTGGAGAGAAGGAGCCGGTTTGAATGAAACCTTTCACCTGCTCCATCTCCTACCAGCATCTCCTTGCCAAATCCAGCAGGGATTCCTAGCACAACTGGTTTGCAAATGCAGCCTTTTTTAAAAATATATATATATATTTTATTGATTTTTTTACTGAGAGGAAGGGAAGGGATAGAGAGCTAGAACATCGATGAGAGAGAAACATCGATCAGCCGCCTCCTGCACACTCCCTACTGGGTATGTGCCTGCAACCAAGGCACATGCCACTGACCGGAACCGAACCTGGGACCCTTGAGTCCGCAGGCCGACGTTCTATCCACTGAGCCAAACCAGTTAGGGCCAGCCTCTTTTTTTTAATTATTATTTTTTATTGGTGACAGTGTTACAGATGTCTCCCATTCTACCCCCCCACACACACACACCTTTACCTGCCTCCGCCCAACCCCTACTCACGCCACCACCCCCCCCCACCCCCCACCCCCGTCACCACCCTATTGTCCATGTCCATGGGCAATGCATTTTGTGGGGCAATGCGGGGCTGTGCTTGTGCTCCCTCTAGGAGGAAATTGCCTATTCCTCTCCCCGTGCTTTTAGCACTGCAGGTACTAATTTGTACATAAGCAGCCTCACTGTCCCCGAAAGAACTTGAGGCCCTGCAAATGTGCTTGCAACACCCACACTGCAGCACAGATCGCTCTATCTTCCAGCACACACCACCCTCCCGGGCGGCAGGAGAGCACACAATAAGAGGCCTGGCCCGGTCACTCCTTCTAGGCGCAGACTTGCTCTTCATTCGTGGCGAGTTATGACAATGACAAACACCTAGCCCAGCTCCTCCGCCTTGTCTCGCCTTCTCCACTAACAACACAGCGAAAGCTGAGGCGGTGAGGGCATTCTTGTCCGACTCCCCGTTTTTAGCCCGGTGGCACCAGACAAAAGAGGCAGGTGCCAGCAGCCTGGGGGCAGCCCGCACACACCGCCCCTACCGGGCCGGGCTGCAAGACTGGAAGCGCCTTTCTAGGAACAGCGGACCGGGCGGCGGCCGACCAAGCCAGGCGTCCGCCCTGACCTCAGGGCCCGCAATCTCAGGAGCCCCGCGGCGGCCCTCCCCGCAGCTCCCTTCCCCAACGCCGACAAACCACATACCCGTCTGCTGAGAGACGCTGCCGGGGGTCTCTGTGGCCTTGAGCAGGGCCGCCTCCTGGTGCTGTCCTCTCCGGGCTGGGCGCGGTCGGGCTGCGGGGCAGTGGCGGGCTCCGGGCTGGCTTGCAGCAGTTGAGGGAGCGCGGGCGTCTGAGCTTCAGCTGATGGTGCAGGGATGCGCCTTGGCCGGTCCTCTGAAATGCGGTGCTTCGCACAGCCTCACTACAGCTTCTCTCCGGAGGAGGGAGGTGGCAGCGGGCGCGCTCCCTTTTTATGTAGCTCTTGCGCTCACAGGCCCTCCCGCTCTCTCCTTCTCCGCGTGCGCGCCCCGCGCCCCGCCCTTCTTGGCAGGGAGCACCCGCCAAGGCTGCGTCTAGAGCCCTTCCTATACCCGCTGAGGACGCAGCTACCACTGTGCACCTGGCTTGAGCAAATCCCTAAACCTCCCCAGTCCCCAGCAGTGGTTGTCTGGAGATAGGGATGGATCAGATGGTGGACCCAAGAGACCGTTGATGGGGCTAGGTCTGAGCCAGGCAAAGTGCAAGGCTGAGAGGTGAGGTGTGGCTCAGTCATAAACAGTTCCTCCCACCACCGCACACAAGCTCTGATGTGACTTCATAGTTTGACACCTTTGTCAAGATTATGAAAGCCAAGATACATTCATGTAGTACCTCCTGAGAGGACCAACCCAGACCTTCCCAACCTATGCACTGTAGTGTCACCCTCGATCCCCCTAATAGGGAAGGGGCAGATCTACCCATGGATCCCACCCTTCATCTCCACTGGGCCTCAAGAGTTGAGTCACCCTTGAAATTCAAATGACCCCTGCTTAGAGCCAAATATGTTACAATAGACCCTTGCTAACTAAAGAGACAGGTTTCACTCTGATATCCCTCATGGCTGGTGGTCAGACCTGGAAAGCCCCATGAGCTCACACAAGCCTTTGCTCTTTACTGGAGGCAGAAATGTTCTCAGAGACCAGGCTTTCTCCATTTTTTTTGCACTAAAGTCCAGGGAGTGAGAGCAGGTGGTAGACTTCTGTGAACCTTAGCCTACTTCAGGGGGCAGGCTGAATTTTGGTCCAGTTAATCCATTAACTTTTGATCATGTCTTTTGAGACTTGTATTTGTTCCAATGCATTGTTTTTCAATACAAAAATACATCAATATTTCTCTCTCTTCCTGAGCTTGCACCTTTCTATAGAAAATCAGAATTTTATTTTTCTTTTAACCATTGAGCCCAGCTATGTATTTGACTACTTATTATGAATAAGAACTATTCTGAAATACTTTCAAAGTAATATGTAAATACTAAATAATAGTCATTTGTTATAAACACAGCTTGAGCTGAATGTTACATATTTAACAAGTGCTGCAATGTTTATTTTTGAACTATTGACTAGCCCAGGGATGAGAGTACAATGAACTTACCAAATAAACTAAATGCAAAGTTCTGATGCAAAATGAATGCCAAGGGGTAAGTATACTAGTAGAGAACGTATGGAGTCAAGTGTATTTTCTTGAGAACAGAAATCAGAGCTTCTGTTTACCATTTCAGTGACAAATGCTAAGCAATTTCTGCCAAATGCTAACCCAGAAAATAAATTCCATCTTCTAACCCCTGTGGATATTCTATCACTTTAAGTACTTTAAGCACTTTAAGTAACTCAACCATATTTTATTCTCTCCTAGCTCTTCTACCTGGGACATGCAGTTAGTATATTCAAAGAAACACCTTGAGTTTGATTTCAGATAGTTGGACATCATTAACCCTTCAGAACACCTAATAATTAGATAAGTAATAATTAAGTAGATGGGCACATTGCACATGATCATATCATTTAGGCAGGACAATAAGCTGATGTTTTAAAATGGTATTCAGTGACCTGACACTAGTAACTACAGAAATGCCAAAGATACTTCCAGGGTAGCCTTTAGCAAATCTAAGTACTATTCAATAATGATTTTTACTTAAAATGAAAATTACCTGGAAATTCTAATTCAAGTAATTTTTAAAAACTGATGTCACTTCCTTTACATCACCAGGATATTGATTAAAGAAGTGACTGGAATTAATGCATACTTTTCTCATGAAAACCGAAGTTAGATGTCATTCAAACTTCGCAAAGCTAATGCTATTAAGCCATGGACTCCAATTCCAAGCAGCCGCAGCTCTCCATCTTGCAAGATGACAATTGGCTTGGTCACAGTTTTGTCAGTGGCTCTTATTAACTGTGCTAGCTTTCTGCTGCACTGGGGACTTTTATATATTTTCTTATTTTATTCCCACAAGAACCATGCAAGGTAGGCATTATTATCTTCATCTAACAAATGAAGGACCTTAGGCACAGGAAGCTTACTTCATTTGCCCATAGTCACACAGTTAATAAATGTAGAACCTGACACAATTTTTAAATTTTCCTGATGTTTTAAAATTCAAGTCAGCTTTTCAATTCTATGGCAATATGCTCATAAAGCATTATCAAATTCTGGTGCGAAGTTTAATCTCTTTATGAAAATGCAGTCTTTTAATCAATGAATGTATTATTTCATAACAGAGAGAAGACAACTCTGTTGTGAACACTGCTTCCTATAGTGATGGAAACCATCAAATGTGTCTACCCTAAGCTAAAATTTTTATGAGAATTTTTGCACTTCACTCTCTGACACAAAGTTGATGGACAATCTAATCTAAAGAAGAATAATTTTTAGTTGATCATGTATCTCTTTTCAGGTACCTTTGACTTCTTCATAGAAAATATGCTTAATCATTTAGATTCAAAGAGAATTACAGAATAAAGGGCACAAGCAGGAATAGATGCACTTCCTGTTGTTGTTGTTGTTGTTTTCCCTCTAGGAGGGGAAATTTATTCAATCCCATTCACAATCTCTCTTCAGTCCTCCTCTGGGTCCATGGGCATGCAGTACTCCTGGGTTGGAGTACCAAGCATATTTAGTGCCCACCACAATTATGAGGAACATCATTCTAACTTTCCTTTGTATTTCTTTCCATATGGTAAAGGCTCTTTATGGCATTTTCCACATTGTTTCATAATTGCCCCTAATTACTGACACTTACTGTAAGTGTTTCACATGTTTTGATCATTCTGGTCCCTCATTCTGTTCATATTGTCTAATTATATTGGGGGACCTAAGTCCAGTACTTTCTATTTTCCTTATTTAATTGTGTATTGTTATTTGATCCAACCTTCTAACCTGTTGAGTGAAATCCTTTTGGACACATTGTCACTTTATATAAGAGTGATCCCTCCAGCTTCCTGTCAGTCTGATGATTATTACCACTGCATCAACATCTTCTTCTCAGTTGTTGATAGAAACTTTCAACAGGAACATGGTCACAGCAAGCTCCAACAGCTCACTGCCCAGACTCTCTCTCCAGGTTGACAGTTGATGGCAAATGACTCTCTCAATGTACTTGGGAAATTACAGAAATTAATCTGTTCTCTACAGTAAGTAAATATCTAGAGGTCCAGTAATAATTAAAATTCACATTTTTATGCCTAAGATTATATCCTTGACTTTGATGCTATTTTGAGGCGATGAGTATTTTATAAACTACAAAGTTTTCATTCATTCATCCATTTATCCAATAATTTTTTAATGTTTTCAATGTACCAAGCACTGTGCAAGGTGGGAACACTATAGCCATAAGATAGAATTAGAAATATTCTCTGCCCACAACATTCATTGACACATATTTCTGGCTTGAAACAAAGGTGCTTTAGCTATGTTTTTTTTTGTAAGTAACAGAGTTGAATTTTGATTTAGGGACCAATTTGAAAATTGATTTTCTTTCATAGGTTAGTTAAACCCACTCACATTTAGTCATAAAACTAATTTGTTTCATCTCAAATCTGTCATATTATTTTATGTGTATTATTTTATATTTACTTTGCTATTTTCTTTAGTTGGTGTGTCTCTATTGTTCTTTAAAATATTTGCTTTGGTGTTTAAGAAGAATTATATTTTTGTTCTAGTGGGTATTCCATATTTTATCATTTATACTGTCATTAAAAATGATAAATTTTTATCATTTATACTGTCATTGCTCCCTTTTCCTTATTTAACTTTTTACTGTTTTGCCTGTCAGTTTAAAATATTACCATTTCATACCAAACTGAAAGCAAGTCAATGATTTTATTATTTTCTCTTTCTTCTCATTTTCAGCTACGTTCTTTCTAATCTGTGGGACATATTGCTTTTGCTATTATTCTTTACCAATATGTTGTAAATGTTTCCCTCCACGTCCCGTGTGGTTCAGGGTTCAGGATCTGGAAGAGGAGCCGCACACAAATGAAAGAGAAAAGACAAGAGATAATTTAGGAATATTGGGGGGGCCAGGCGGGTAAGTCCAACTCAAGAGGAAGGACTTCCACCGGTGCTCAGGCTGTACCAACCTTTTTTATAGTCAGAGGTAAACAAGGCAGTGGTCACTATAGTTACACAGTTCTTGTGAGTTTCGCCTATTTTGACCATAGTTACACTTCCTGCACTTCCCTCAGCCCATTAGCCTCCCAGATAAGATCCAGGGAGTGTTATAAGGTCAAGCCTAATTATGCTAAGAGGACTGAGCCCTCTAAGCTGGGACTTGTTTGTGACTTTGCCAGCAGGTCAGTCCGAGGCTCAACCCTATATTGGTTCCCCACACCAATGTCTCCACCTCTGCTTTTATACTATCAGCGTTACACTTGAATATATTAAATCCTCATCATCTTTTGCCAAGTTTCCTGAGTTATATGTTGGTTGGATAAGCTCACCTTTAGTAGATCTCTCAAAAAATACTTGTGTGTACAGTATTCTTTGAGTTGTTGCATGTTAGAAACTGTTCTTGTTTTTTATACATAGTCTTGATACTTGAAGAATATCTCAGCAAGCTAAAAAAAAAATCTTTGGCTCACACTTCCTTAAGTTTCTTGAAAATGTTGCCCCACTATTTCCTTCACTTAGGTGTTGTTCTAGAGCAGGGGTGGGCAAACTTTTTGACTCGAGGGCCACAATGGGTTCTTAAACTGGACCGGAGGGCCGGAACAAAAGCATGGATGGAGTGTTTGTGTGAACTAATATAAATTCAAAATAAACATCATGACATAAAAGGGTACGGTCTTTTTTTTTAGTTTTATTCATTTCAAACGGGCTGGATCCGGCCTGCGGGCCGTAGTTTGCCCACGGCTGTTCTAGATTTTCTTTGAGTCCTTTGAAGCTCTCATTAAAATACTTGAGCAACCTTATAACCATTGTTTTGAACTCTGTATCCA